CGAGCCCGACATCGGGCTCCCTGCTCAATGGAAAGCCTGCTTCTCCCTCTGCCCCTCACCCCGCTCATGTGAGCGTGCTCTCTCTCTCTCTCAAATAAAATCTTCTAAAAAAATTGAAATCTTCTTACATTTACATATATTGTCAGCATATCTAAGAGAATTTTAGCCATCAGCGTACAAGTTTTTAAGGTATCAAAGTAATTCTCAGAGAATTCTTAAGTCTTAAGTCAGATAATAAAAGTATTGCAGAAGGAAAACAAACATAGAAAACTTAAAATTCAGCCTCAAGTGTTTTCCTGTGTCAATGGAGTCAAGTATTAACCAAAGTCCCTTTAACAATAATGGTTAATGTTTACTAAGAAATAGGGTTGCCTGGCTGGCTCAGCAGGTGGAGCATGCGGCTCTTGATCTTGGGGTTGTGATTTCGAGCCCCACGTTGGGCGTAGAGATTACTTAAAAAATAAATAAAATTTAAAAAATAAAAAAATAAGATATGTAAGCTGAGTTTTGAATGTGTAACTTTAATAAATTGAATATTAGTTTTTAAAAAGCAGAATACACCTGAAAAATCTCCCCTCTCATCCCTGCCCCCGTCCTTTACTGAGGCCAATGGCAGCAGGTGCTGTGTGCCCTTGTGTAGATAATCAACACATAAGCCCTTGGGAGGGCACCCGGGGGACTCAGTCGGTTAGGTGTCTGTCTTTGGGGCTCAGGTCATGATCCCAGAGTCCTGGGATTGAGCCCCATGTTGGACTTCCTGCTCAGTGTGGAGTTGCTTCTCCCTCTCCCTATGCTCCCCCCTCAACTCGTGCTCACTCTCTCCTACTCTCTCAAATAAATGAATAAAATCTTAAAAAAAAAAAAAAAAAGGAATGCCCTTGGGACCCCTGGGTGGTGCATTTGGTTAAGCATCTGACTCTTGATCTTGGGGTTGTGAGATCAAGCCCCACGTCGGACTCTGTGCTCAGTGGGGAGTCTGCTCGAGAGTCTCTCTCTGACCCTGCCCCGTCCCCTCCCTCCCTTTCTCTAACTCTCCCCACTTCTCTACCTTTCAAAAAAAAAAAAAGCCCTTTTACTCCCATTTCCCTTTAATATATAAATAGAAGCATAGTATGCCTACATACTTTCCTTTACCCTTTTCACTTAACAATATATATCGATCTAGAAAAATCCCACCAGGACTCCCACAGAGTTTACTCTCACTTATTCAACATGATCTCTAGCAACAGCCAAGCCTGGATGGCGGTCGGGCTGGCTCGTCTAGTGGCCAGAAGATGCCACTGCAGTCGTGGCTCTCTGTCCCAGAAGGGCCACCTGAAAACTGGCACAAATTTTGGGAGAAGGTAATAGATGTTAGGGGCTCAATTGTTTTTTTCCCCTCCCAAAATTTGTATGTTGGACTCCTAACCCCCCCAGTACCTCAGAATGTAGGAAATAGGAAATCAGGCCGTTAAAGGAGTGATTAACATAAGGCCATTGGGGTGCCCCCTTATCCAATCTGACTGGTGTCCTTATAAGAGGAGGAAATCTGGACACACAAAGGGACACTGGGAATGCATGTGCACAAAGGAAAGGCTAGGTGAGGACGCAGTGAGAAGGTGGCCTCAGAAACATTGATCTTGAACGTCCAGCCTCCAGAACGGCGAGAGAATAATTTCTGGGTAAGCCCCAGTCTGTGGTGTTTTGTTACAGCAGTCTGAGCAGACAAATACCCCGGTTGTGTGATCCTCATACGTTCGTTCAGGGGACTCCAGGAATCTGTATCATCCAAACTGTGGCCTCCCAGATGGAAAACTTTTAGGCTTTTAGCGTTCTCCTTTTCCTCTGGCTGGACGCACCTGTCCCGCAGATCTAGCTTCTGGCGGAAGCTGCCTCCTCCTCGCTTCCTTCAGGGCTATCACGGATGTTTGCATTCTGGCCAGCACACTTGGGGCTCCAGAGCCTCCCGTGCAAGGGAATGGATGTAAGATGCTGGGCTTTCTGGCTTGCTGAAAGGTGCGTGATGGGGTGGCCTCTAGAACCAGAAGCTCATTCTCTGCTCCTTGAGACACCCTTCTCCTAGCTTCGGTGGCTCCCAACTGCACTGTTGGTTCATTCTCAGGCTCCTTTGAAGACCTTTCTCTCACTTGATTGCTCAGAGTCCTAGGGCTGCAGAGCTCTGTGAGTTGTGCATGCGGATTACCTAAATCATCTACACTCTCCTTCCCGCTCAGTTGCAGCGCCCAAGCTCCGGCTCTAAGCTAATGAGCTAGGTGTGGTCAGGGTAGTCTGTCACGAATCCCTGAAGGTTCAAAGCAGTCCCACCTCCCTCTGAACAATATTCCATCATTTTGCAAAAGAAAGGCACACCTTGCACCCATCCTGAATCTCGCTAGGGTGCTGTGAACACCCTCAGGGCACCAAACAAAAGGCACAATTGAAAAGGCCGATTTGCTGTGCATGCTGAGAAAGCAAAATAAATCCTTTATAAAACTGGAAGGTTTTCAATACTTGGCTTTCAACAAAGTGAAGGACGACCTAATAGATTTGTCAGCTGAATATTTAATTTAAAATGATTTTTGGTGATAGATCTTGTTTTGTGTTTGCACATAACGGAAGCAGTCAAGGGACTGAGTGATACTGCTATAACAAAACAATTTTTTTCCTGTAAAAGTTTGGAGTTTAATGGTGCAGAAAAAATTTTAAATGCAGTTTGACTCTGAGTGCCCATAAATGCTTCAATGCATGAACCTTTTTTTTTTTTAAATGAAATTTATTGGGAATATGGAAATCTTCATGCTTTTATCGCAATGCTTAGAATACAGGTGGGGCTCAGGAATTAGCATTTGTACCAAAATTTACCCAAGAGAATCACCAGGTTAACAGATGGGAGGACTGAGGACTAGGATTGCAGTTCAGATAGACAGATTTTAATAGGATTTCAGTCACAAAGCATGGAAGTTCTATCTATATTCATTTAAGTGACTTCATATTCTGAATGTGAAGTATTTTTTTTATTTATTTTTAAATTTTATTTATTTTTTTAAAGTAGGCTCCACACCCAATGTGGGTCTTGAACTCATGACCCTGAGATGAAGAGTCATATGCTCCACTGACTGAGCCAGCCAGGTGCCCCTGAATGTGAAGTATTTTAAATGTGTGATGTATTTTACAACATCAGATTCAATGTAATCTTGATGTATCTCAAAAACTACAAATTAGGGGCACCTGGGTGGCTCAGTTGGTTAAGCATCTGCCTCAGGTCATGATCCCAGGGTCCTGGGATGGAGCCTTATCTCAGGCTCCCTGCTCGGAGGAGAGCCTGCTTCTCCCTCCCCTCCTGCCCCTCCCCTGCTAGTGTTCTCTCTTGCTCTCTCTCTCAAATAAAATCTTAAAAAAAACAAAACTATGAATTAATGTTTTTACAGTGATGTTGGGAATTGTAGCTTTGTTTTGGGAAAGTTTTATGGAGATATAATTCATATGCCACACAGTTCATCCATTTAAAGCATACAGTTGAGTGGCTTTAGATATGTCCATGGGGTCATGCAAGCATCTCCACGATCAATTCTAGAACTTTCTCATTACCTAACAGAAACCCTGCACCCTTTAGTCATCACCCTCAAAGTACATCTATCCCCACAGCCCTGGGCAACTACTAATCTATTCTTTGTATGGATTTGTCTGTTCTGGACCTTTCCAAATCAATGGAATTGTAAACGTGGTCATATGTGACTGGATTCTTTCACTTAGCATGTTTCAAGTTTCATCCATGTTGTATGTATCAGTGCTTCATTTCCTTTAATGACAGGAACACTCCATTGTATGGAAAGACCACATTTTATCAATTCATTAGCTGATGGACGTTTGGATTGTTCCTACTTGTGAATTAATTTAAAAAATGTTAAGTAACAATCGGCTCCAGGGGGCGCCTGGCTGGTTCAGTTGGAAGAGTGTGCGACTCTTGATCTCGGGGTCGTGAGTTTGAGCCCCACATTGGACATAGAGATTACTTAAATAAATAAATATTAAAAAAAAAAAAAGCCAATTGGCTCCAGAGAAAGGAAAATGGCCTTATGTTGTGGTAAATAAAAGGACGGGCGATCTTAACTTGGACAATTGGATTTTACAACTGGGACTTTAAGACTGGATGAGTGACCCAGAGACACAGGCAGGCAGAGTGCGTTTCAGTTGTGGGGACAGGGCAGATGGAGTGCCCACTGGGTGTGGAGCCAGCGGAGCCTGAGATGACCTGGCAGCAGTGTCCTTGACAGTCTCCTCCCGGGGCAAGACTTTGGCTGTGGTTCTGCTCCCTTAGCGTAAGAGAGAATAGCCGAGGGAACTGTGTTGAAAAAAATAATGAGGATCTAGCAGCTGTACCAGTTATTAAACTTTATTATGATTAGATACTATGTTGTACTTGAGTTACTTAAGAAGTTTGTATAGCAGTTAAAAAGAGTTAAATAAAAAATCTGAGAAGGAACATTTAGAGACCATGAAGTTTCTCTTAGAAAGTACAACAATCCTCTTGAGAACGTTTGGCTTACTTGTTCTGTAACTCACACTTAACTCCTTTGACTTACGAGACCAGTAGAGCTGATTTAACAGTTGGACCCCCACCCCCCTCTGCCCAATCTTTCTACCGGAACACAAGGTGTGACCAAGGGCTGATTGGTTTTATTCCTGCGTATATACAAAGCCGTTTATAATAAAAGATAAATGTACAGATTTGTTACAATAAAATATTAACCTTGTCTTCACCTTTCTTGTATTGACTTTTTCGTAACTTAAATGACCTTTTCTCTGAGTATCATTATAAACTAATGGCTGCTCATATACTCATCACATCCAAATAATACTGTTTATCCCAAACTAGACAGTAGGACACCCCTGAAGCTGATTCCCTTGTTCTTTCAGTATCGTCCCTATTTTCAAATGTTTTTTGGTTTCTGGCAACCAGATAATTCAGACACATTTTGATTCTTCTTATCCCAAGATATGGAATCAATAACCTTACATGGAGTTCACATTCCCTTTGGTGGAACTTAGTATCAGAGTAAGGGCTAAAAAACTGTATTTCTGAAGTCATAAGCTTACATTGATTTTTCTAATTTGCATGCTGGTACTATTAGCCTCTACTTTTTTTTAAGGTTTTATTGTTTATTTTTAAGACTTTATTTTTAAGTAATCTCTACACCCAACGTGGGGCTCAAACTCAACCCCAAGATCGAGTTGCACGCTCCACCGACTCAGTCAGCCAGGAACCCCTATTAGTCTCTACTTTTATTAGTTTGTGATTTTATCCACCAATAACATTTTCCTTTGTATCTTTAACTTTCTGTAAACTTCATAGGACAATGTTTGGCATGTATGTAATAGGTATTTAATGCCGAGTGAACTCTCCAGAACAAATCAATCAGTTGTTTTTACAGCAAAGGGACCTGTGTGAAATGATGCACCTCAACCTCCAATTTGATGGTTGTTGCTGACTATAGTCAGTGTGAGTAAGGGTGACATCATTGGCCAGCTGCCTGGGTCTGGGGAAACCTACCTGCACCAGGGGCAGTGAATTAGGGTCTGTTGGTAGAGGTGCCTCTCTTCTTACCCCCCCTACTCTTTCCTTTTGTAAGGCTAGAATTTGTATCTTCTGTATAAAATGACTGCTTTGCTGTTAGGTCTTGAGTTTAAACTCCCAGGGAGGATTCGAACAGGGCCTCCTGGTTATCCTGCCAATAAGGTACACTCCTGTTGGGCAGGCAGACCTTAGGCCACATCACCCTGAAGGCTGCCCAGTAGTCTAAGGATTGCTGGCTGCCTTTGGGCTGGTTGGCCTTTCCTTGTTCACTCTGCTATGGGAGAAATGTGGTACCAAGCTTGGGGTCATGTACATGTGCCTCGTAGGTTGACCTAGACCTCCCAGTTCCAGGATTGCATAACCGGATTGGAAATGAATGGCCAGAGTGGAAAACACATCAGTGCCATTATACTCTTTACTAGTCTGGGGAGACTGCCCTCACTCCTCCCAAACAGCACCTACCACACTTTCAATATTCTATTTATCACCATTCTCAATTTTATGCTCGAGATATACTTGCTAGAATACTGAGTTACAAGAGCTTTCATAACTGGGAAGAGCTATGAAATAAATGCTGACCTTTGAGGGCCTACTCTGTGCCAAGCATGGTTTTTGGCATTTCACACGTATTAATTATCAAAACAACTATGATAGGCATTTGCCTACGTTAGTAGGTGGGGACACAGAGACAGATAGGATGAGTAACATGCCTCAGTCCTATGTTTGATTCTAGAGGCCACCAAAACTCTCCCTTTAACCTTCTAGTATTTATAAAAAGTATGGATGTTGATAACCCATAGAATAACTGTGAAGCTAAAATCTGCGTGGTATAGAAACTGTCAATAATTAGAGAGATGTTTAATGATATTTCAAAGCACAAAGTACACTCTCTCTCAGAAATGGGAGCTACACACCAATTTTATGACCCTAAATTATGATCAGGATAATTACAGTAGAGAAGTCTCAATTCAAACCCATACAGGAAAATAATATAGGGGAGAGATATTAACTTAGTAGCCTTGTGGGTTAACTCTTCAAATACTAGAGCACATATAACTACAAAAAATGGAGGCGGTATCATTCGGAAGAAGACTAGTTTTGGTATCTCGTCCGGCTGAAAGTGAGAGGAATTCTGAATGACCAACTTGATTACGAACCAGAAGGTCCAGAACAGGTAAACCCTGAAAGACCATTGGAGGTGACACACATAGGTCTTAGACCTACTGTACCAGTCTTGTTTTTAACGAATCTCTGTTCCTTAAAAAAAAACCAGCCAGAGGTGAGGGTGAGGACTTCTTTTTTAGCATCTGTTCTTCTCGGCTGAGTCCATGGTAAAAGTCATCATGCAAATAGCCAGACTTTTTTCAGAACTGGCTCTATTCCCGGGTTGGGAGGCTTCACTCTTCTGTGACCCAACGAATCTTGCCGTTTTCTCCAAGCCGTACAGCTCCACGGGCTACCAGCTGGAGGGCTGCAGGAAATATTTTGTGCTCTGCTAATTTCACTCTTTCAGACAGAGTTGCAACAGTGTCATCTCTCTTCACTGGAACAGATTCTTGTAAAATAATTTGTCCAGCATCTACATCTTCCTGGAGAAGGAAGAAGAAGTTTTGAACATTACTTTCTAGCTAGTACAATTTACATACAGACACTAATAATATTTTGGTAGAGATACTCACAGCTACAAAGTGCACAGTACACCCAGTGACTGTGACCCCGGCTTCTAGGGCTTGCTCGTGGGCATTTGAACCCTTAAAAGAAGGGAGCAAGGATGGGTGAATGTTGAGCATCTTCCCTGGAAATTAGTAAAAACACAGTGGTCAGAATTTAAAACTCCTATGTACTCTACCAAAGGAATGTATGTTTTTCTGTCTAGAATCAGGGGTCAGGAGGAAAAGGATTTCTCTGGGATGGGTGTTTCTTCGTAAAAGACAGAAATGAAGTAAAGGGAAATAAAGGTTTTCATCCAGGAGGCCCTGGGGGCAGCAAACTCCCGCCTTGCACAACTGAAGAGACGCCTGCAGGGCAGGGAGGTCAACTCTAGGTCACGGAGCTCTTGAGGAAAATTCGGCCTGCCGCTAGCACGTACTGTTAGAAAGACAGGAGACTCCTGCATTGCGTCTATGTGCTTGACTTCTAAGCATGAAGTGGCATGTCCACCAGCCAGATGCTAGACTGGCTAGTTCTGTGCCTTACGGCACCACAGCTCGGCCAGTTTTCACTACACCACAAGGACTCTGTCTAACCATATTCACTTAAGAAAACAGGAAGTCTTTGGAGAGAGAATCCATTTATTGTCCAAACAGGTGCACAAAAAAGGACAATAGGATGCAGTCAAAACACAAAGACACAGTAACACAAGGCATGTTTTCCAGAAACAGTGCCTACCTTGCCATGTGTGGCAATGGTCTACACTTCCTAAGGAGAGGATGGACTCTTCATTGTGGGATATAGGCAATCACTTCCTTTTGTTTCTACACAAGTAAAAATGTCTACTGAGTATTTACTCAGAAGATGAAATATGAGTAATGTGAGTAACCTAAGCTTCTTTTAGAAAAATGATTAATTACAGCAGGCCAAAGAAAACTGATAAAAAGCGCAGATAAAATGATCATTGGGTCATTCTCTGAGCTGAGGCAAAGGAAATTAAATTATGACCTGTGTTAAAATGGCCCAGTAAATATCTCACTGTTGGGATTGTTTGGGAAGCTAATGACCCTGCATTCTTATTCAGTTGATTTCTCAATGTGGCGTCACACAATTTTTGCTTACCATCCCATTTCCTGACAAAGGGGCCAGATAAAATTCTCATGAATCCTGCAAGACAGACTATGTCTGTGGAGTACTCTTCAAGGACTTGGTCAATTGCTGTGTCAAATTCTACACGACTTTTATATAATTTATGATTAATTACCTGTAACAGAAAAAGATAGGCACAACTTTTTCAATGAATTACCAAAAACGATTTAAAACTCAACCTGTACATAGACCACACTTCCCTTCTTTCTCATGAAGACACCTCTGATATGAAGAATTAAGGAATGGAGAGGATGAAGTAGAAACGCAAGCCCAGCACACACCCCAGTCCAGAGATCCAAAGAACAAGTTGCCCTTACAGATGTAAGTCCTGTTGGGGAGGTGGGGAGGTGGGGGGGTTATGAGATTAAATACAGTCTGCAGGAAAGACACTTTTCAAAGTAACTCACTCTGGTGGGAATTCCGGCTCTTTCGGCTTTATCTAAACCAGCCACTGCGGCTTTGTTGGAGATAACAACAACAATGTGTGCACAGCTACCTGGCTCCCTTGTACTGTCTATGAGAGCTTGCAGGTTTGATCCTGAAAGAGAAACACACAAGTAAGCGCAAGTTTCTTAATAAAGGTATGTTCCATTTTGCATAGTGAATGTCAAGATTTCCAAATAAATGTCTTAGAAAAGAATGGCAAAATATGTGAGGCTTTTAAATTCCCTTTCTCTTGAATGGAGTAATAGCTTATGAAAACATAGGCACTCTCGGTTCTAGGATATGTAATTGCTCCTGCAAAACAGTATCTTATGATCGAGCACAGTAAAAGAAACAGTATAACATGATTTAAAAACTGGTGAGGAATAAGCTGCTTAAATAAGTAAGAAAAATCAACTCTCTTTCTTTTAAGATTTTATTTTTTTTAAGCAATCTCTATGCCCAATGTGGGGCTTGAACTTACAACCCTGAGATCAAAAGCCACATGCTCTACCTACTGAGTTAGCCAGATGCTCTGAAAAATCAACCGTCTTAAGAAGAAACCACTATGACCCTTACAATAGCTTCTTTACTTTACCATCAACTTGGGCCTAAAGTATATTGAAATCTTAAAAGGGACTTGGAAAGCAGTTACACTTCCGGGAATGTATCCTAAAGAAATAATCAGCTATGCACCTAGAAATGTACTGTATTTTTACAAAAATGTTCATAGCAATGTTACTTACAGTAGTGGGAAAAATAAATATGCTATCTCCATCTGAGAGAATATGATACTCTTATTATTATTTTACCCCTCTATCCACAAGAGCCAACCATAAATTTCATATTCTTATTACCAATTAAAAAAAAAAAACAAAAAACACCTCAGTTGTTTTAAGACTTTTTAACTAGAAAGCTATGATACGAAAGTTGGATTTTCCATCTTTTCTGGTTTCTCTTTCTTCAATCATCTTCCTTATACCCTCTACTCTTCGTTTAGGTGTCTCAAAAGCCTGAGAATAGTAGAAAGACTGAGGACACAGAATGAAAGTCCTTAATGATCCCCTGTCCCTGCTCTACTGACAGTTTGCTCACAATTGGAAGGAGGTTTTTTTAGGGGGGAGGGGGAGAGGAGGAAAGAGCACTTCTTTTTAAAATTAATTAATTTTTGAGAGAGAGCCTGTGTGTGAGCACAAGCAGGGGGAGGGGCAGAAGGAGAAGCAGACTCCTCGCTAAGAAGGGAGCCCGATGTGGGACTTGATTCCAGGCTCCTGGGATCATGACCTGAGCCGAAGGCAGATGCTTAACCAACTGAGCCACCCAAGCACCTGGAAAGAGCATTTCTACAGCCCCACAGTAAAGAAGAAGGCATATCTTACCTGTTCCAGATATTAGGACAGCCACTCTTGCCTTTTTTGGTTGGACAGAGAAATGATTTTTCAGAGTGCCATCCTTCAATACTGAGTCATTTATTTGCATGGTTTCTATCAGATTCTTGACTTTCACACGAGGAGAACCTTCATTTCAAACACACCCAATAAATAAGAATGGAACAACTGTGAATTAACAGTAAAAATGGAAAGAAAAGTATTTTATGAAAACTTGAGAATACTTCATTCTGAAAATAAGATATGCAAGGACTAAAATGAAGAATAGACTTGTAGTACTTAATGCTACTCATTCATAAAAACTTCCTGAAAGAGAACATGTATAATTACCTACTTCAACTAAAAGCCACAGCACGTCACTATCTTGTGGCCTCAGGGGAGGCATGTGACCCAAGTAAGGCTATTCAAAGATCTGACACAGGATGTTGAGGAAGAGAGGGCCTCCCTTACCGATTGCAATGTGAGCTCAAGGATGTGGGCTCAAGATATCCTTCTGGTATTTGGTGAACCTGCTTGAAATGAAACCTACATAATGAAGGAACGAAAGGCAGACACGGCCATAATCGGCAAGCCCTGGCATCTCCTAGCTAATGTGAGTTGGTTTTCTGCTACTCTGCTAATTTCTAGTACTTCTAACAGAGTCCTGAGTATACACAGCACTTGTCAGGGTGCTTGCTTCACTATTCCCTGAATTCGCTTGAGACAAGGTCTTGCCTGTGGGAAGATTACTCTGGGAAGTGATCCCAGGAAACCAGAGGGAGGATCTGGGAAAAGTGATATGGAGAGACAGTATAAGAGTGTGTTATTAAACTGGTCACCACTGTGGGCAACTGGGACTTGATTCCACTGCGACCCTCAAAAGAGCCATGAAGACTGCCTCAGAACTGCTCCCTTCTTCTGTCTCTGAAGTGGGTATTTATTCACCTCATTGGTTACGGGTTGTCCTGTGGGGTGTAGCTGCGCATAGGGACTACTACACAGAGGTGTCAGGCAGAAATGAAGAGAAATGTGTTACTAGCTTGGGCGTTGTCATGTTACAGCTGTGGAAACGCAGCTGCCATACCAATGGTTCGACTAAAAGGTGGGCACAGCTTCGGAGGCAGGGCAGAGTTGTATTTCAGGTTATATACTAAGAACAACGAATCAAAGAGTGATTACCTTCAGGACATGCAACCACCTTGCCAATCACCCAGGCTTCTTCCTTGTGCTGCTTAATATCCCTCAGAATCTGCTCTGTCAGATCCTTTGATACCATGAGGGCAGCCCCAATCCCACAGTTAAATGTTCTGACCATCTCTTCCTCAGAGAGGTGTCCTTCCTGCTGTAACCATGAGAAGATCCTGGGGACCCTCCAGGTCTGGGCATCTGAAAACAGGCAAGAGTTGTCTGATTAACCTATCGTCTCACACAAAATATAATGTATGCCTTTATACAAAGCTGTGGAAATTATAAGCAGCACTGCTATTTTATATAGGGTAGAACTATAAACTGGCCTTTTCACAATTTTGGGGTAGGATTCATTTGTACCTCAGATATCAAACATTTTTGCTGACACACTTGGCCAGTATTCACAGTTAAGTGAGGTTTTGTGCTGCATTAACTAAGTTCTTAGAAATCCCTTAATGGATTAATTGTGTTACCAGCTGAATTCCAGTAAAGGTTTGCGAATGTTAAGCTGGGTCTTAGTGATGACCAAAACGTACCCTAAGTAAGATGCAAAACTAGGTGGCTTATGTTACAGATTTAGAAGAAACATATCCACTATTTAAAAATAGTTACACTATATAAAAGGTTAAAATCAAAACCTTGTCCCTCCGTATTTACTTTATTTTTTTTTTTTAAAGATTTTATTTATTTGACAGAGATATGCAGGAACACAAGCAGGGGGAGTGGGAGAGGGAGAAGCAGGCTTCCTGCTGAGCAGGGAGCCCAATGTGGGGCTCGATCCCAGGACCCTGGGATTATGACCTGAGCCGAAGGCAGACGCTTAACGACCGAGCCACCCAGGCACCCCTATTTACTTTACTTTTTAAAAAAGATTTTATTTGAGAGAGCGCGAGAGCACGCATGTGCACATGCGCGGTGGCGGGGGTTGCGGGGGGCAGAGGGACAAGCAGACTTCTGGCTGAGCGTGGAGCCCAACACAAGGCTTGATCCTAGGATCCTGAGATCACAACCTGAACTGAAATTAAGAGTCGAACGCTTAACTGATTGAGCCACCCAGGCACTCCTTCCCATATTTACTTTAAATTTTAGATTTAGGTCTGTTACAATACAACAAAAATCTCTAATAAAAATTTTTAAGTAAAGGCATAAACACAACATACATATAATTTAAATTTGGATGGTTCTTTGGAATCTGTAGTTATGGGATCTGACTTGCCAAACCTGTACTAAATTAAATATTTACTTATGATGCTCCTAAGAAAGGGAAGCCATTACGGATTTAGCTTTTTATTAAATAATAGGGTTAACGATCAGTTCCCCTTATTAATTTGGTGTATCTGTTGGATAATCAGTTCTTTATTTTTGTTTATTTTTTTTTTTAAAGTAAACTCTACCCTTAACGTGAGGCTTGAATGAACTCAAGACCCCAAGATAAAGAATTGCATGCTCTACTGTCTGAGCCAGCCGGGCACCCTGGATAATCAGTTCTTTAATGCTCTAGAGTTGATACAATTTTTAAGGAGCATCGCATGTCTATGAACCTTCTCCTCTATCAGACTTAATTCCATTTCTACGAGCTGGGCAATGTTCTTTCTTAAAAGTTGAGCTCAAAAGATTTAGCTACTATGATGTTCACTGTTGTATCAATAGTCAAAAGTCAACAGCAACATAAAACCAAACAGTGGTATACGCATATAAAAAAATGGAATACTCATCTCAAAAACGATGCTATTATGACAGCTGGATATTGATATAGTAAATGGCAGAATAAATAGCAGATTACCAAACTATGATCTCATTTTAGCAAAATGATTTACAAAGTATTTGTTTGTAAGCAAACAAACAAACAAACCCTGACAGGCTAAGAGCCCAGTTTCTACAAATGATCAGATCTGTCAGGAGTAATATAACCAGTTGCAACTTTATGTTGTAAACGCCTTACCTAAATCTGTTGTCGGAGTATGATTCCTAGAAGAAATCTCAGAGGCTGATATAAGGGCCTGACTTTCCTCTTTACTGGGACACAGACATCTGTGTGACTCAACCACAATGGCCGTTGGGAATACGGTGATATCAACTCTACATCACGACCTAGTTCTGACTCTTCAGGTTCTCTCTTAGCTTCACGTACTGATTCTACCGTGGGCTCAGCACATCTACTCACGTGCACCCATAGCTGCTTCCCCTCACGAGTGACCTCTCCACTTGGCCAGCCTGACTGGATCAACCCAATTTTTTTTTCATTCATGTTTCAAGGCTATACATGCTCATACTTTGGGAGAAAAATCACCCAACCAGCTTCGCCTTCATCTTCAGTGCTGCTTGTTGTCTCATTCTTGTTTCTCCTAGTCTACTTTATTATTTACTCCTTTCCTCAAGCCCTCACTCCTAGTCTGCTCATCTCACTAAGCCCTTCTTAACTGGGAAAAGGGGCTACTTTATGTGACCTTCTTTAGTTTCTGTTTCCTCAAACCAATGTATATTAGTTGACCATGATAGTTGGAGCAGTTCCTCTGTCTCTTTACCCTATAAAAACAGGGAGGGAAAACCCTGTTGCTCATTTTGCCATGAGTGTAAGTAATGACTCCCCCTTCCCTTTTACCAATAAGTTTCTTGAAACAGCAACCTCCATTCACTGTCCCTGTATCTCTGCCACCCGTTCCCCCCCACAATCATGTGGCAGGTGGTATCTACACTCACTGACATGCTTTTTGAGCTGACTGAATCATACTGGCTTATTTCTAGTTCTCATCCCAGATCTCTTTGCTGTACCTGACACTGCTGACCAGTGTTGTGTTCAAATCCTTGGAGTTCATGATACTTTTACATGGTTCACTCCCTGCTTCTGACTGTGCTTTTCTAGTAATTCTACCTCTGTCAGTCTTTAAAGTAGACAGAACACTGAGGAACAACCTTGTAGTCCCCCCACTCTCTTGGCTATAACTATTACTATCTGCATATGAGCACCAAACCTAACTTTAGCCTGATAGCAACTTCTGCTCTCAGACACCTTACAATAAACACATTGAAGATTTAAAACACTATTCCAGGGGCGCCTGGGTGGCTCAGTTGGTTGAGTGTCCGACTCATGATTTCTGCTCAGATCTTGATCTCAGGGTCGTGAGATCAAGCCCCACGTTGGGCTCTGTATTCAGTGCAGAGTCTGCTTGAGATTCTCTCTCCCTTTGCCCCTCCCCTACCTTGCACGGACCTGCACTCCCCTCACTCCTCTAAAATAAAGAGGGGCGCCTGGGTGGCTCAGTAGGTTAGGCATCTGACTCTTGATTTTGGCTCAGGTCATGATCTCAGGATCCTGAGATTGAGCCCCTTGTCAGGCTCTGGGCTCAGCGGGGAGTCTGCTTGAGGTTCTCTCCCTCTGCCCCTCCCCGCTGCACTCTCGCTCTCAAATAAGTAAATAAATCTTTAAAAATAAATAGATAATATTTGAAAAGAAAAACCAAAACACTATTCCTACTTCCTACTCCAAATTTACTCTTCCTCCTGTGTTATGCATGTTACCATCCATTCACTTGCTTAACTAGAAACTTGGGACTTCTTTTTCTTCTAAGCACAAAGTGATTCTCCAATCTGTCTCCCTTCTCTATACCTTGGTTTGGGTCCCGTTTATCCCTTGCACAGGCTACCATTTCCCTTCCTGGAACGTTCCTGGTTCCATCTTGATAGAGCTTGAGATTACCAGTTACATGAGAGGATCTTATGCCTTATAAACATAGCTAATAAAGCAAAAGGAGGTAAAAAAAGGTCAGTCTTATTTTTTCTGAGAAACCCCAATAATTAAGAATTTTCCATACAGGGATACCTGGGTGGCTCAGTCGTTAAGTGTCTGTCTTTGGCTTGGGTCATGATCCCAGGGTTCTGGGACTGAGCCCTGCATCGGGCTCCCTGCTCGGCGGGAAGCTTGCTTCTCCCTCTCCCACTCCCCCTGCTTGTGTTCCTTCTCTCACTGCCTGTCAAATAAATAAAATCTTAAAAAAAAAAAATTTTTTCCCCCGATATATATATAATTATATGTGCACTAACTACCCATAGTTTTCTTCCGTAATGCATTTTTCCTCCCAATGGTTTTCCAAACAAAATTTCCTTTGAACAATCTTACCTAAATCTACCCCAAACTTCTGAGGAAGGACTCTGGGGATGTTTTCTAGCAATCCTCCACCAGTAATATGGGCAAAGGCCTTGACGTGTCCTGCACGTAGGACAGGTAGCAGTGAATGGCTGTAGATTCTGGTTGGAGTGAGAAGTAAGTCCCCTGTGTATTGGAGAGATAAGACACACACTTAGCCTATGAATGTAAAACCAAAGCATATGTCAACAATTCTGAAATAGAGAATGATTTGACCCTGTAGACACGCCAGTTATATGATAATGTCCAAACAGTGAAATCATAAGATAATGTAATTTATTCCATTCTAATTAACTAATGAAAGACTAACCCAATGAATGGTTGCTCACTATTTACAAGCAGGAAAATTTAAACGTGAGTGTGTTTACCTAAGGTCTGGTCACCACAGCCTTCAGGTGCTGGAGACGAGTACTGGAGGGAAGATTTTGCTACAATTTTCCTTACAAGGCTGAATCCATTGCTGTGAAGACCAGATGAAGCTATTCCAATAACAACATCCCCTTCAGTGATTCTTTCCAGGTGAGGGAGTTTCTGATCCCGCTCCATGGCACCAACGGCAAAACCAGCTAGGTCATATTCTCCGGGAGGATACATGTCAGGCATTTCTGCAGTTTCACCTCCTGGCAGGATGATAAAACAAGAGCCAAGAAATCACATAATATTTATAAACCTGTCTAGGAAGTACTGACACCAGGTCCTCTTTTTTTCTTTAAGTTTGTCTGTGTATGTATGTATATATGTATGTATGTAATTTCTACACCCAACATGGGGCTTGAACTCAAGGACCTCAAGATCAAGAGTTGCATGGTCTTCTGACTGAGCCAGCCAGGTGCCCCTACTCTTACTATGAACAATTAAACACGTGGCTATATTCCGCAAACATTAAAAAATATGTACTCTATTAGCTGCCTAACAGAATTTTCGACCAAGTGTGATTTCAAGGGAAACAGTACTAATTTCCACAAAGGATAAGTGTAGCCCCCAAACAGCATTATCTTCAAAGAACAAATGCTTGGCTGAATATAATGTCATTTCTACAGCAGTTTAATTTTAGAAATGCTTTCATTTATATTTGACCTTTATAATCACTCTATATTCCAGATGACGGTACAGGCTTAGAGAGGTGATTTAATCAGGCCTGCTCAAATCCAAATGCCCTGGCCTAAAAAGTACAGCATAGTTCACTTTTGTGATCATATGTAAAGAAAGGGTCTAGGCAGGCAGACTCCATTTTTTTTTTTAAGGTTTTATTTATTTATTTGACAGAGAGAGACACAGCGAGAGAAGGAACATAAGCAGGGGGAGTGGGAGAGGTAGAAGCAGACTTCCCGCTGAGCAGGAAGCCTGATGTGGGGCTGGATCCCAGTACTCTGGGATCATGACCTGAAATGACTGAGCCACCCAGGCGCCCCCAGACTCCAAATTATAAACTGTTCTAAAAGAGGGTTGAAAAGGTCATTTTGGCTTTTGGGAAAGATGTGTCCACAGAAATAGTTAATATAAAAGAGATAGGTTCATTGCTTGGTCAACCTACAATTCATTTTGCTCAAAGTTCCCATATATATTTAAGCAATATTTCTGTAAATCTTAGGTACATTATATTCTTAGTGTTACTTCTGTTGGAAAATAATGCTTAAGATGTAGAATGTCAGGAATCATCTACTTCTGCTGCAGGCCAGTGAGGAGGAAATAACCCCTAACCATGTTTGTCCATGAGGCCCTTGAGAAAGATGGGGATGGAAATGATAAAGATCAGGGAAAAAGGTAAGGCCTGGGTCACAGTTTAGGAATAGGAAATCTGGGGGACAAACCCTTGAGGAGGGGCTTGAGGGCACCAGGATCTAAGTTTTCTTCAGGTAATGTTATCTATATTTTATTTGCCTCATCATGTAATATGTAGTTTTTCTTCTTAGCTATATTAGTACTAATCACATTTATACACAGGGCTAAAATACAGTAAGAAGAAGGACATGTGATTAAAATCGATGGTCATACCAAGGAGAGCACATCCAGCTTTTCCACAAGCTCTGGCGATTCCAGCAACAACAGCTTCAGTTGTATTGAGGTCAAGTTTTCCACAGGAAAAGTAATCGAGGAAGAAAAGAGGCTCTGCCCCTTGGGCCAGAATGTCATTGACACACATTGCAACCAAATCTTGACCAATGGTATCATGTTTATTACACTGTTGGGCAATCTAAAGAAGCACAATACATAAAACATCCACATAAAAAATAAGCTCCAAATTATACCTTGTCAGTTTATCAACGGAAGCTAATAAATATTATTGCTATTTGGCTAGCTGTTCCAAACACCTAAAGATAAAATACTAAATTCTGATAAGCCACTTGATCCAAAAGTATCCTGTTTTTAATTTTTTTAAAAAAGATTTTATTTATTTGAGAGAGCAAGCGAGAGCATGCACGAGCAGGGGAAGGAGGAGAGGGAGAGGGAGAGGGAGAAGCAGACTCCCTGCTGAGCAGGGAGCCCGACGTGGGGCTTGGGAAATCCAGAATCATGACCTAAGCTGAAGGCAGACGCTTAACTGATTGAGCCACCTAGGTGCCCCAAAAGAACCCCCCCCTTTTTAAAGATTTACTTATTTTAGAGAGGAAGAGAGTGTGTAAGTGTGGGAGTGGGGGGAGGGGCAGAGGGAGAGAATCTCAAGCAGGCTCCCTGCTGAGCCTGGAGCTGGATGCAGTGCTGGATCCCCTGACCCTGAGATCATGACCTGAGCCAAAACCAAGAGTCTGACACTTAACCAACTGAGCCACCCAGGTGCCCCCAAAAGTATCCCGTTTAATCCCCTCCAATAACCCTTCCATCCAGATATAGTTTCAACAACATCGTGTTGTTAGAAATACGTAGATATTTTAGCCATACTTTATGGTTATTTGGTATGGTTCTCTTTAGTGCATATACATCAAGAGGGGAAAAATATGTATTTGATATACGGTAAATTCTCTATCATTCACAAAAGGCCTTTACTCAATCACATAGGTGTCTGATTACCTTCAGTTTAGTTCCAACACCATCTGTTCCACTTGCCAGAAGAGGATCTTTGAAACCAGCTGCTTTCAAATCAAAAAGACCAGCAAAACCTCCAAGATCAACATCACAGCCTAATGGGGAGGAAATTAATTACCTACTGCATTTTAATAGATTAAACACGGATATACAAACCACTTCTAATTAAGCACGGCTACAATAAGAGATGCCTTTCCTGAGAACGGGGGAGAGTACCAAGTGCTCAAAGAATTGATCAAGAAAGTTAAGTATATATGAAAGGGGCAGACATATCTTTTTGAGATGTTTTCCTTTATATTAGAGACAAGAAAGCAGAAGACTATGGGTTCGGCTTAAAGAGGGAAAGACCTAACAGCAATCTGGCATTAATTTGGAACATTTTCCTCAGTAAACTACAACACCCAAATCAATTCACAATGCCAGTCAAAGTTAATGAACTAGCAAAGGACAGGCTCTGACTTACCTGGTCTGGAGGTAGCTTTTGCTAAAGGTTTAATTTTCTTGACCAGCACATTTCCAGCTGCAATGTCTACCCCAGATTCCTTGTAAGTCAGGCCCCTGAAGAATTAAAACAAACACATCACCTAAATGCCAGGGAAAATTAGTTTAATTATAAGGTATTATATAAAAGAGAAGATGACTTTTATATATCCGAATGTGCCAGGCCCCATCCATAGATTTTAACTGGTCAAGGGCAGTCCCTGGAAATTGAATATGTTTAAATAACTTCCCCAGTTGATTCAATTTTATTATCACTACTGAGTACTACTTCTCTTATTTCTCACAGATAGCTAGATATACTGATATTTTGCCACAACATTTTTCTATTCAATTTTGGTATGGGAAGGAAAGGAATGCCAAAATGGAGTAAAAAAAGTGAAAATTAGGATTATATGTACTCTACAAAGAAATCCCTAAATAATGAAACTGGGCTCTTAGTGCAGTAGAGAATTGTGTAAGTTTCCTCATAGCTGAAGACAGCAAGAAACAAGATAAAAACACATTGGAAAAAGCAAAACCAGATAATGATAGTGCATTATTCCCTTCTAAATAGGGCCAACAAATTGAAGCAGTACATCTAAATTTCATGAACAGCACTGGGAATTCAGTAGCCTTGCCTTACAAAAATGAGTACTTTGGGCATACTGGGATGTAGTGATACATGAAGAAATATGTGAAATTTTATTAGAAACAATGGGTCAGGGGGCGCCTGGGTGGCTCAGTTGGTTAAGCAACTGCCTTCGGCTCAGGTCATGATCCTGGAGTCCCGGGATCGAGTCCCGCATCGGGCTCCCTGCTCAGCGGGGAGTCTGCTTCTCCCTCTCCCGCTCCCCTCTCTTGTGTGCTCTCTCTCTCTCAAATAAATAAATAAAATCTTAAAAAAAATAAAATTAAAAAAAAAAAAGAAACAATGGGTCAGGGTACAAATAGAGTTGAGAGCTTTGGCAATTAACTCCAATGAAATTAGCAGTCTAGGGTCATGCTCAGAAAGGAAACAAAGTTCTACTGATTTAAAAAAACCTTTCTCAGGTAGCAGCTGGTATTGAGCCCTCTCATTTTCTTCATCTTTAATTTTACGAACTCAGGTTAGTATTAAGATGACAATGACAGTCCCTTGCAATTGGTCATTTCAATGGAATCTAGTTATTTTAAAATGAAAAATAAAACTTTTAGCATGGTATTTTAATGTTCCTAATCCTAAAAAGTTTCCAGTATTTAAACCTAAATATTTGTCTATCAATTAATGGGATTAAGTTTAATTAAGTTGCTAAAAATTTCTCATTTTGCCCTAAAACATATTTATTTCTCATAGACAAACTCAATGAATAATAGTAACTGTGATATATACTTAAGAAATCAAAACACTCACATTTGCAATTAATAGTTTATTGATTTTACAAAGGAATCATTGTACATGCTAACAAATTAATAAGGGGTCAAAAAATACATTTCAGTAATAAATATAAACGAAGTAACAAAATTAGACTGCCAAGATTTCCAATATAGTCAAATTAAGTTGCAAAGGTAGATGGCCAATATTTTCATCTTGCATTCTCTGACAAAACCAGGAACTGAGATAAAAATACAACAGTAATATTTAAATATATGATAACTCAAGGAATAAAAATCCTTTTCCCATCTTTATTGATGAGTAATTGACAAATGACTGTATATATTTAAAATATATGTGAAAAAGTCCTTACTAAATCACTGTGATTTTATTCAATTTTTCAAACACAAAAAGCTACCATGAAGCTTTTCCCATTTCATTTGAATTTTTTTTTTTAAAGATTTTGTTAGAAAGAGAAAGAGAGAATGAGTGGTGGGGAGCGGCAGAGGGAGAGAGAGAAAGAGAGAAGCAGACTCCCTGCTGAGCAGGAAACCTGATGCAGGGCTTGACTCCAAGACCTGGAGATCATGACCTGAGCCTAAGGCTGAGGCTTAACCAACTGAGCCACCAAGGTGCCCCTATTTGAATATCGTTCTAACTAGTTTTGACCTAAACTACATGCTAATCAAAAGCAGATCAGTCCCATTGAGAGAAAAGATTATAGAATGGCTTAATATAAGGTTAACAGAATTTTCTATATAGCCATTTACATCAGTTCGGAAGCTGTGCTAGAACCACTTTGGTAAGAAATTTACCTGGGCTGCTGGAGAAAAGCTACGGCACGATAGCCAATGTCCTTCCTGTAAATGGCTCCCTCAAATTTTATAGCAGCTAGTCCTTTCTTGGCTTCTTCAAGGGCCAAGATGAGATTTTCCTGAATTGCTGTTACCGTAAGGACTCTACCCCCATTAGTCACCACTTTGCCATCTTTCAGGGCAGTGCCTGCGTGGAACACCTCCAGTCCTAAAGCTTGAGCTTCAGGAAACCCTGTAAGAAAGCACATTTACATAATAACAACAGTCTGCACTTCTGAAGTGGTTTATAATTTCCGTAAGTTTTTTTTTTTTTAAGATTTTATTTATTTGAGAGGGAGAGAGAGAGCGAGTGAGTGAGCACAAGTGGGCGAGGAGCAGAGGCAGAGGCTGAAGGAGAAGCAGACTCCCTCCTGAGCAGGGAGCCCAATGTGGGGCTCGATCCCAGGACCCTGAGATCATGACCTGAGCCGAAGGCAGACGCTTAACTGACTGACCGCCCAGGCGCCTCAAGTTTTTTTTAGTAAGATTTTTATTTCATTTAAATGAATCTTCACAAGAATCCTATCAGGAAGGAATAAAGCAACAAGATAGCAAAAGACCGTCTCTCTTTAGAACAGTCTGTTCTGCTCTAGGGTGGTAATTGTATTATCATTAACCTGTGTTATAATCTCATGTAAGAACTACTGTTTCAATGGGGGAGAAAAAAAAAAACACCTAAGTCCAAAAAGTTTAAGACTTAAATGTAGAGTTGACTCTTAAACAATGCCGGGGTTAGGGGTGCCAACCCCCCTTCACAGTCCAAAATCCATGTATAACTTTTGACTCCTCAAAAACTTAATTACTAAGAGCCTACTGTTGAATAGAAGCCTTACCATAACATAAACAGTCAATTAATGTGTATTCTGTATGTTACATATTATATACTATATTCTCACAATAAACTAGAGAAAAAAAATGTTATTAACAAAGTCACAAGAAAGAAAAAATACATTTACAGTACTGTACTCTACAAAAATCCACGTATAAACCCATGCAGTTCAAACCCATATTGTCCAAGGGTCACCTGTACGTTATTCTCTCCTGACAGGACGTTAATAACTAAAACTTAAAAGGGGAGAAAGGAAAAATAAAAATCCCTAAACATCAATGAATAAAACCTATACATGATCACATCTTTTACTTATGAGTAAAGGAATTTTTTTCTTTATCATAGCCATACAAATTGCTTTCGCTTTCTTGCTTTCTTCTTTAAATAACCAATAGGATAACTGTAATGCAAAACATATTCTTAATCTTTTCCCCAATATAACAATTATAAAATCTTAAAACAATTTGATTTAAATTTGATTTTAGGCCCAATCTAAAATACCTAGCTTAATTTTGTTTTGAATTATTCTTAAGCTCTCATATATAATTTTACACTTAAGATATAATTAAACCATATTTTCTATATTCTCAAGTGACCAACATGGGCAGTTTATACAAAGATAATCTCTTAATTAAAAAAAAACAAAACCCCACTCATACATTGTCTGTCTTTTTTGGTCACCACTTCTCTTTTAGCATCACAGTTAGTAATTTGTTAACCAAGGTCTTCCCTATATGTTTTTCTAACACAGGCGCATTAGTCATAGGTACCCAACTACGTACTGGTATTGGGAATATCTAATATTGCTGTCTCAGAAATGACTATTACACTTGTCACCTCAATCTTAGGGAAATTTCACCACTGTAAGTGATCTTGATTCTACCCCTTCTCTTTGTTCATTTTAAAAGGCAATCAGGAGTGCCTGGGTAGCTTAGTCGGTTGAGCATCCCACTCTTGATTTCAGCTAAGGTCACAGTATCAGGGTCCGTGAAATCAAGCCCTGCATCCGGCTCCATGCTCAGTGTGGAGTTTACTTGAGATTCTCTCCCTTTCTCTCCTCCTCCCCCTCCACCCCCTCCCTGCTCGCCTTGCACGCTCTCTCAAAAAAAATAAATAAAATCTTAAAAAAATAAAAATAAAAGACAATCAGTTCCTAACTGCAAAGGTGCCACGACTGGGCTTCACAGGGCAAAGGACTTACTGTCTGGGCAAGGCAGGAACTAGGGTGTTTGAACCAAACACACTGTTAGGGTCCTGAGGGAGACCAAACTATAGCCTGCTGGGGATCTTGGAGGTCTGCCTTTGGGCTTATGGCACTAGAACTTATTTGGCATTTTAAGACATTGTTTTATTTAATATCATTTAACAAGAAATGCCTCACTTCCTATAAAGAGAAACAGAAGAGAAGGCTACAGTTAACTGTTTTAATTCTGTCATCCAAGTGACTATGGGGTATGCTGCACACAGGAGGTGGGGGTGGAGTGTCTAGTTGTGATCATGCCTCTGAAATTTATCTGATGTAGTTTCTACTAATGGTACTTTGACTCTCATGAGTTCCCTTTATTTTCATGGCTCTTGGAGGATGGAAGAGAAAGGTACACTGAGTGATACTCTGGAAACTTGGCTAGGCCCATACAGGTCTTCCTTGTGCAGGAAGGCAAATGGATGACAGTCCAAAATGTCATTTTGGACATTTGCACACTCTCATCCAACATGGTTAAAAAACCCCTGAAAGGTTTCTGATGGCCTTATGCCCCCTAAAAGGAGCAAAGCATAGCATGGGAGGAAGGCCTATTGTAACGCTGGTCACTTGTCACACTGTAATTCCCCCTTTTGTTCTCAGATCCTCACCTGTTATCTCCACACCCTTGGTGTAGTCTCCTGGATAGCCTTTACTTGCCATCACGACAGTTATGGCAGTGAGGTGTTCATGCCAAACAGGCAGAGATGTGCAGAGCAGGCCGTCCAAGGTAGACTGGATCACTTCATAAAGATCACTTTTAAGAAGTGGGAGGATCACCTGGAAAAACATAATCAACATGGCAACTGAGAGAAATTTTAGTTCTCCCTAGACAACGTATTCACTGAGATACCAGCAGAACTTGCATATATTCCTTAAAGGTAATTATTTCGAGGCTGATAAATCCCGAGATTAAAAAACACACATCTACAAAGTATATTATCTTTAACTATTACCCACTTGGCACTCTGGATCACCGAAACGGCAATTAAACTCCAGAACTTTTGGGCCATCCTTGGTCAGCATTATACCAGCATAGAGAACACCTTCATTGAAAAGGAAACAAAAACAAAACCAAACTATAATGAAAACACTGTATTGTGACTGAAAATTAGACTATAAGTTACTAATACTCGAGGTTCTGCACTAACTATGGCAAAAGTTACAAGAGTCGTCACTTAAAAGGCGGTGAAAAAAGAGAAAGTGGGGAAGTTTTGTCAAGGTGTAAAGTCACTCTAAGAATAATGTCCACAATGACATCGATGTGCTCACCTGTGTATGGCATACCCTCCTGCTGCATGCCATCCACTGTCCTCTGAAGAATGGTATTTTTTATTTTCAGGAACAAATCCTTAGAAACCTGGGGAACATACAGAAACATTTAAATGTAACTGGGTATTAAAAAAAAAAAAGTCATGGGGTGCTTGGGTGGCTTAGTCAGTGAAGTGTCTGCCTTCGGCTCAGGTCATGATCCCAGGGTCCTGGGATCGAGCCCCGCCATCGGGCTTCCTGCTCAGCAGGAAGCCTGCTTCTCCCTC